AAAAAAAAAAAAAAAAAGGAAGAGGGGAAAGGGTGTTTTGTGTCAGTACTGCAGTGTGTGGGATTGGTGTGGGGAACCCATGGGACTGGCGTTGGGTAAATTGATGAAGCTCCTGACGACCTACCTCAGAGACTGGATTGATTGAATTTGATTCTATATAGAACTCCTTAATTCTATACATACAGTATGTGCGAGACATTACAGACCCGGAGCATCCATATTCATTGGAGCAACTGGACGTGGTGAAGGAAGATTCCATAGAAGTGGATGATTGTGGCAACAAGGTGATGTAAGTGCAAACACGTAAATGGTAGCACGTGTGAAGCCCAGCGCATAAGGGTCATGCAGACTTGACGTCATCCCCACCTTCCTCCAGAACTGGCCTAGTTTTCGCTTGTTTCCTTAGGAACGAAATCGGCCTGATGTGTTGAGGTTGCTCTGGGACTCGACTTTCTCATGGGTAGAGAGTGACAGGCAGCAGAGGAGGTGTCGGGGAGAGGGGGGATGGAAGGGGGGAAAGGAGGGGAGGAAGGGTACGTCTGTTAAACAGACGTGACTGGAGCAGAGAGGAAGGTGCACATAGACACACAGACAAGAGCAGTGATAATGGGGTAGGGGAGGGAGAGAACATAACGGTGCATATAGAGATGAGTTAGGGGGGGGGGAGAGAGAGAGAGAGAGAGAGAGAGAGAGAGAGAGAGAGAGAGAGAGAGAGAGAGAGAGAGAGATGCTGCAGTGAATAGGGGATTTGAGAAACTGAGAGTGCTTGTGTTAGCTGCCGCAGCGAATAGATGATCTGAAATTGTTTGTGATGCTTTTTGTGCCAAATGTTTGTGAGAGATCTCCTCTGTGTGTGTGTGTTTGTGTGTGTGTGTGTGTGTGTGTGTGTGAGAGAGAGAGAGAGAGAGACAGAGAGAGAGAGAGAGAGAGAGAGAGAGAGAGAGAGAGAGAGATGCTGCAGTGAATAGGTGATTTGAGAAAGTGAGTGCTTGTGCTAGCTGCCACACCGAATAGATGATCTGATCTGAGAAATTGAGATTGTTTGTGCTAGCTGCCGCAGCGAATAGATGATTTGAAAGTGCTTGTGATGCTTTCTGCCAATTTTTGTGAGAAATCTCCTGGCCATGGGAGCCTCGTGTTTGTTGCCGTTGTCACCGTCTTGCCCTCCTGCCTTCAACCGTGAAGTGTTAATTAATTCGTCTTTGTCCTTTCTCGTGCTGTCTGCCCTTTCCATCTTCCCTCCTCCTTGTTTAGCACTCGTTGCATTATCTCATTTTCTATTCCTTGTCTGCTTCTTGTCCGTCTATGCGGCTCATCATCATCATCATTACATCAATGCCCTTCTCCTCTCCCTCCTCCCTGCCTTTTTGCACTTTTACCCTCGTTATCAACTCGTGTTGATGATCCGTTTCCATTGTTGTCCTTCTCTTTTGCCTGGAACCCCCCCTACAAACTGTTCTTGTTGGCATCTTGGCTACTGTCTACAGTGCCAACCGCGGCACAAAGACTCTGCCCTTTTTATTAGCCTCTGATGGATGGCTCACATTTCCTTTCTTATTATTTTTTTGGTCTGTCTGTCTGCAACAAATCGTGTGCCCTTTGTTTGTTACTCTGTGCCGTGCAGGGTTACCTTCACGCCGACCGTTCAACACTGTAGCATGGCAACAGTTATCGGATTATGCTTGAGGGTTAAGCTCATGAGATGTCTTCCACCTCGCTTCAAGGTGCCCCTCCCTCCCTCCCTCCCCCCCTCACTTTCCTTCTTTCCGTCGTCTGCATGCAGTTTGCTGATGGGCCTGGCTCCACTACTCTCGACATGCACAAAAGATGAGAATCATGGCGGTGTATGCTTCCATGTTCTAGCGGAAAGATTCACTCTCTTTTTGCACATTTCTAGAGTAGTGGAGTGAGGCCCGATGTCTACGTGTACTCTCTAAAATGCTCTTCTTCAGTACAGTCCTACATCCTGAGTGCAGCTCCTCTGTGCTAACTCACGTTTCCTCCGTGTGAAGGAAGGCGCACTGAGCACAGTTGCTGTGTGATGAGGGCAGTTTCCAACTTTCCAGACGTTTTGGTTACTCTCAACTCTCAAGCTCCCAAGTGCAGTGCCTACCTCCTATTTCTATGTGCTAAGTGCAATTTTTACATGTGAAGTCCAGTTTCTTCGTTATGCGCAGGTTCTGTTTTCCTATTTGCTAAGTGTAATTTTTACACGCAAAGTGCAATTTTACCTTCCAACTTCTAAGGTGTAGTTCCTATTGTACTTCTAAGTGCAATTCTTACATGCTAACTTGCTAAGTGAAGTGCAATTTTTAGATGCTAAGTGCAGTTTTTAGGTGCTAAGTGCGGTGTGGCTATGTGCTAAGTGCAATTTTTAGATGCTAAGTGCAGTTTTTAGATGCTAAGTGCGGTGTTGCGATATGCTAAGTGCAATTTTTACATGCTAAGTGCAGTTTGTACACTTTCAGTGCAGGTCCTGTGTTCCTATGTGCGAAGTGCAGTTTATACACGTCAAGTGCAGTTTGCCAGTTTCCACGCTGAGCACAGGTCCTGTGTTCCTCCTATGTGCAAAGCGCAATTTTTTTTACACGCTTAGTGCAGCCCCTACGTTTGACTGCAGATCGTGTGTGCTATAGCTGGAACTCCGATGAGCTACGTGCAGTCACTAGCTTGAAGTTCAGTTGCTATGCTCTAGGCGAAGTCTGCATTAGCCTTTTTTTTTTTTGCCGTTCCTCTGTTCCTATGTGCAGTGCCTCAGTCAATTCCCATGTGTGGTGCAGCTCCTCTGTGCTGCTAAGTACCTATATAGATATATATATTGCTAATTGTCAAGTGGTGTCCCTATGCACTAAGAGAGCAGCTTTCCCAGTATAGTCTTCAGTGTGTTCTGCTGGCAGCAGGCAGTGATTGTCTTGTCTGTGATGTTTGCTCATGGTTGTCATGTGAGCATTGATCGTTAAAGAGGGGTCGAGCAGCCCACACTCTTCTCAGTGTCAATGATGTTTAGCTGTGTTTGGCGATTCTTTAAACATTCTGATGCCTTTTATGCTCTGCAGAGTTCATGGTAGGTAAAGACGCTACAAAGTTCACATGGCACATAGAGATGCCACTTTTTTGCCTTGTGAAATATTCCTCGGTCAGTAAGAGTCTGGTTTAGGAGTCGTGTGATTAATTGATTGATCACTAGGTTGGTCGGTTGGTTGATTGATTGATTGATTGATTGATTGATTGATGGATGGATGGACTGATTTGATTGACTTGATTGATTTGATTAATGGATGGATGGATGGATTAATCTGATGGACTTGATTGGTTTGATAAGAGTTGATTGTTTTGATTGATTTGGTTTATTTGATGTGTTTTTGTGTGGTTGATTTGATCGATCGATTGGTTGATGCTGGCGTTCACTTTCTTTGATTCATGTTCTTTGTCATTGATTGCTGTTCTTTGCGCAGATCGATATCAAGGTTGCACCTGGGTCTCACGCCTCGGAGTTAGCTGGTGAGTTTCCCAGTTGGTTGTCTTGAATACTCTGTTTGCTTGCTTGCTTGCTTGCTCGCCAGGAGGGCAGGTGACACATCCCCAATGGGGCAATGCGTAGGGAGCCAAGGATCCGCGATGTCATGAAAAGGACTGAAATGGACAATTCAAGGTCAGCATAGCATCAACAAGCAATGTACATTCCGCTACATACAAGATGGCACAAAGTGGCGCAGTGGAAGACTTAAAGAGTAGATCTGATCTGGACTGACCCGACATCCATCATGCATCACACATGTGAGAAGGGAGGAGGGACCGCAATCACAGAAGAAAGGTCCCTCCTTCACACACATACATGGGGAGATTCCACGGATGAGAGATGGGGGAAAGGGGACAAGACTAGGGAGAAGAGGCGAGGGAGTAGACCAAGATCGCAATAGCAAAGTCCCAAAAATAGTTCCTTGCCGAGTGTCCAATCAATGTCTGTCCCAGAATGTCGAATCGGATCCTGGGCAATGTGCCCAACCTAACCTCTGATATCCTCACTTACTCTCGTAGCTGAAGAAGAAGGTAAGAAAGTGAAGGGAAGAAGGAGAAAGGAGAGAGAGAGAGAGAGAGATGGAGGAGGAGGAGGAAGAAGAAGAAGATGACGTCCTCCTTGCTATCTCACCTGCAGGTAGCTGTCACCGTACTGACTGTGGTCTTCGTCGTGTGCAGGTACCGCGCGGAGCCTAGCTATGGCGCCAGGTAAGTTCGTCGCTTGCAGGTAAGGCCTCCGCCTCTCTCCACTACCTACTCCGCTACTCCCTACTCCGTAGCTTGGTGCAGAAATAACGCTGCTTCAACCAGCAGCATGTCGCTTCAGAAGTGAGCTACTCGAACTGTCCCTGCCCAACCGCTGCCCAGCTATTTGTAGTGCTGGGCCGGCTGGGCCTACCTGATGCTGGCCTCAGAAAACGGCGCAGCTGGTCTGGGTCCCTACCGGATGTCCAGACCGCGCTGCTGATGCAGCAAGGTGCAGAAATGCTCCTGGTCTAAAATCGGCCCGGTACCTGTGCACCTAGCCCAAGGCGTTGCCTTGGGACCTGCAGGACCGAAACGACGCCTGTACCTCAGAGAAGGAACCCACAACTGATCCACAGAAAATGGATTCCCTATGCCGCAGACTCTGGCGTGTCTACCCGTGCGTGCCATTATATTAAGCCAAACACACCAGCAAGGAAATGAGCTTAAGGCCTTAAGGTTTAAAGTTTAAACTTTGAAGTCAGTGATTTGACTGACTTCAAAGCCAAATTACTGACTTCAAAAAAAAAAAAAAAAAAAAAAAAAAAAAAACCTTTGAAGTCAGTGATTTTTTGTTACAGAAATGGTTAACAAATCGTAAATGGTCCTCTCAAAGTTGAAAGTGCCCTGTGTCGTGGAGCTAACCGGACCCGAGCTGAAAGTTGAAACCCTGGTGAGATCAGATGAATAAAAAAATAACTCTGAAATTCTGAATTACCTGGGCCTGGTCAGTTCAATCATCAATGATGATTATGAAGATGATGTGAACAGACAGACAGAAGGGGACCCCGTGCGAACATAAGTTTGTCGTCTCCCTCCAGGCATCAGAGGGGATGATCCCTCAAGGTCTTTTCAAGAAAGGTCTTTTCAAGAAAGGTCTTTTCAAGAAAGGTATCTCCCTCCCTCGTAGTTCAGACGGACTCAGAATCCTTGGCATGGTATGTGTGCGTTGTACTTTGTCTATCCGACGACCGGGTCATGTAGGGCCTCGCTCCGCCACTCACCACGTACACAGAAGACACGAATTATGGCAGTGTATCTTTCCATGTTCTAGCGGAAGATTCGTTTCCATTTTGCATATTTGCTGAGTGGCTGGCTGAGCAAGGCCCTTAGTTTCCCTGAGATGTTGGAGTGTTGCAAGGTCTGCAGATGTAATGCGGTGACAGGTACGACTCAGAAATTTCAAATTAGTAATTACAATATATTATATATATATCGTCACAAACAGAACTGCCCGGTAAACCGTAGGCATAGAGAGAGAAGAGGACAACAAACGAAGGGCTGTGACAAACTGTTTCGTCGGAGGTTCACCGACTCATCAGGAGCTATAAACTCAAGTGAAAATACATAAATTAAACAATCTCTTCTTTTTCAATCTGAACAAAAATAAAAGCCATAGCAATAGCAGGAAATACTATATATATCAATTTTCTGCAACAAAGGCTGATGGACGTACGTGAGCTGGCTGTTTTTCTTAGTTGTCCAACTTGTCCAATTTATTTCTTGTCATCCCGCCGCTTCGAAAAAACTAGGGTAGGGGAGGGGACTTAAAAAAAAAGAAAAGAAAGAAAGAAAGAAAGAAAGAAAGAAAGAAAGGCAGAGAAAGAAAGAAAAGATAACAAGGTAGTGGAGGGGATGGAGAGACTGGGGAAGGATGTAGCAGAGGGACAGTACACGAGATCATCCTGCCATGCTGGATGCTATTTGTTCTTTCTATGTAGAGTGCCCGCGCTCTGCTTTTTTTTTTGGGTGAAAAGGCGACGGCCTCGAGATATTGTCATTGGACTGACCTGCGCCAGGTATTGCAGAATCATTTTATTCTGTTCATCTGGATTCGAACTTGGGTCTGTATTTCAACAGTCGGTTCCATGAGCTTGGTCTGTGAGTATGCGTGCTGTGCTTTGTTGTGTTCACTGTGGGTAATCATCCTGCCATCCGTGGCGCTGCTGCTGCTTCTCTTCTTTATCTTTCGCGCACATGTGCCACCATATCTTCCTGCCATGCTTGATGGTATTCCCCACCCCCTCTCTCTCTCTCTCTCTCTCTCTCTCTCTCTCTCTCTCTCTCTCTCTCTCTCTCTCTCTGTATGTNCTCTCTCTCTCTCTCTCTCTCTCTCTCTCTCTCTCTCTCTCTCTCTCTCTCTCTCTCTCTCTCTCTGTGCGTGTGTATGTAGGACTTGGGCTGCTTGCTATGTTGTCTTGGTTTAATAGCAAATCATTCTGCAGTGCTTGATGCTACACCCTGTTCTTTATCATCAAGACTTACTGTGCTTTGTGTTCTGATGTGATGTTTTGTTTCGCGTGGTGGTGCTGCTGTTCGATTTCGATCAGTCAACAAGCAACTCAACGACAAGGAGAGGGTGGCTGCCGCACTGGAGAACCCGCATCTTGTGGAGATGGTGGAGAAATGTCTCGCATCATCTGAAGAGTAGGGAACGGGCAATGACACACGTATGGAGTTTGGATGGGGCCTCGATTGCAGGGCACACCTTATAACGCCTTTTTAGCTTTCAAGGGTGTGGCTCTGGAGGAGGAGGATTAGAGAAAAGAAGGATGGGCTCATCGTCTCCGATAGGGAGGGATGCAAACTTCGGAGAGTTAATTGAGTTCCAGGTTCTCCAATGGATTGTGCAGCAATTATGCCTACGTCCATTTCGCTTTCAGACCTGGTTCACAGGTTCGACGTACCCAGTCGAGAAGGGTGGGCGTCGGGAGGAAGAAGATTGACAAGGGGGTTGGGCTCGGGACGAAGAGGATTGAAGAAGAAGCATGAGGGGTCGTCATCTCTAGCTTTTTTTTGGACATCAATTTTGCGCCCATCGCAGTGCGCAAAGCCGCATTTCACGCTCATGCACTTGCCGCTCAACAAGTGCATGCACTTGGTCGTGAAGGTTGGTAGACTCTCACTGGGGCTGCGCCCTTTGTGCTTCACAGTCAAAAATGGTTCCCCCTCCTTCTCCTGCACACTGGAATTTTTTTTTTTTTTTTTTTTTTTAGCTACTCGGTCACGTGCTTTCCTATTGCCCCATTTGTATTGTCCCTTTTTTTCCTTCTCCACATCTTCTGTGCCATCCCACCTGCACGTCGAAGAGCCTTGCGAAGTCAAAGATCCTGATTCTGGTCTTGCAAAGTCAAAGATCCTGATCCTGGTCTTGCAAAGTCAAAGATCCGAATCTTGATCAAAGTCAAAGATCCGAATCCTGACCAAAGTCAAAGATCCGAATCCTGACCAAAGTCAAAGATCCGAATCCTGACCTTGCAAAGTCACAGATCCAGTCCTGGGTGAGCAGGAGGAGGATCCTTACGCGTTGTGTGCGCTGGTGGTTGGGGGTCGCTTGTTCTGACAATGTTTAATGGTAGAGGTGGAGACTGGCAGTGGCAGAGAGTAATAGTAGTAGTAGTAGGGTAGCATTTTCATTGCACGTAGAAGGTAGAGTATTCTGCTTTCGGTAGTTGCGGTGTGTTGTTCAACGAGACACACAACGCATTTGTAAAGCAGATCGATTTGTATTTCCCTACTCAAATAAGGATTACGTCGTCACGACCATCAATCAGCTTTATGTCAAGTCTGGAGCTTATTCTTTGTGCAGTCTGCAGTGGAATGTACTTGGTGGAAATTTGAGCGCCGAACGTGCGTCCGGATGTGCACTGTGGATGGGTAGCATATTTCTGTCGGATAACCAACTTCAATAGGGATCGTCTCTTCTGAAAGTGCATCCGGATTGACTGTGGATGGGTAGAATTGCTCTGTCTGATAACCAACTCCACAATAGGAATGCTCTCTTCTGTGTAGCACGCGTGTGGGCAAAAATCAAGGTACGAACTTAGAAAAGTAGTACGTCTTAACCTTTAGCTCTTCGGTGGATTCTTGAAGGCGCCTTGTGGAGACGACGTTACTTACAGCGGATGCTGCGTTGCCCATGTGTTGGATCTATGGAAAGAAGTTAGGTGTTGGTCATGACAAATGCCAGACACGAACTATGGTGCGGTGCTCTCCTGTCTTGCCCTTATGCTGTGTACAATAAATAGATAGAGCGCAATGGTGGTCTTCAGATGAGCGAGGAGCCTTTGGCATGGAAGCTGAATTAAAGCTGTGGAATTGGCGTCCAGTGTGATTTCCAGAGCTGTGCATTTTCAGTGAATCACCTATCAGCCAAGCATGGAGCAGTTGGTGAGAGAAGGTGTTTTCTCTTATCAGAGCTGCATTCACAGAAGGCGGGATGGTAATAAACCATCAGTGTACTTCCAAGGCACTTTTCTCTGATGCTGGGAAAGCCCTGCGCACCGAGCTTTGTTGGCTAACCAGTGTGACATCTTTTTTCTTCTTGTTTTTCCGTTTCTCTGGTTGGTTGTCGTTGTCAGGTAGGCCCGAAGCCTTGCTTAACGCGGTGTGTATACGCCACCTTTCTGTTTTACTCCAGGAGGAGAGAGCCGCTCGCTGCGCTGGGAACTCTGGTCAAGGGTATTCTCCTGCTCTGAGAAGTTCACGTCGCTGATGAGTTGTGTCTTCTTCGTCGATAGATTATGCAAATTGTTGAAGTCCTTCTGATGTCCATCCAACAATTTGCATCTATCAACAATTCGCCAATCATATTGGCGGCCGTAAGCCCGAGAGTCGAAACCCCGAGTTCTTCTCTGCCTGTTGTTCCCAGTGGCATAATGTGTTTTGCAGTTTTTGCTTACCCTGTTCGTTCGGCGACTCCGTCTGTACATAATACAGACCTGCATTTATATCTCACTGGGAGAAAGAGAGAGGTTGTTGCAATCAGACACAGCAGCTCCCAACTTGAGTGCCTCTTTTTTGTCCCTGTTTTTTTTCGTTGTTCTTGTTTTCTTCGCTTCCTTGCACCCACTGTGCGGCGACTTCCGACCATTGTGTGTATGGTTGTATTACACTCTTCCCCTGAATACAACGGATGGTTAATATAGCTGAATTTGGGGCAGCTTTCAGTCGAAATACAGCTAAAATCACCGAACGTTGTATTGGGGGGAAGAAGGTAGATCTGCTGCAAGCAAAGCCACAGGCATACTTTTAATGTGTGGAGGCGTGGACCATTTTTCTCCAAAAGAGAACATGCACCACAACCCTATCCAAAGGAAGCGGCCTGCCTGCTTTTTTTTTTTCTTTTGGGCCGGCATCGGGCGTGAGGCTGACGAAGAGCAAACAAAAACTGGCTGTGTTCATGCGATGTTGGACTTTGCGCGGATATAGCAGGGGAAGAGCATCTGGCACTGTGTTCATGGAAAGCAATCATGCATGTTGCCAGTAAAACTGGCTATGTTTGTATGATGTCAAGTTGGCACAAACATATTCCAGCAGTGTATGGTGGCGCTCTACAACTCTCCACCACCAGATCATGCAGCGTCCACTTTTTTCCAACTTGGAGGAAAAAGAAAAGAACAAAAAGTAAAAGACAAAGAGTGTGCCAACGGATGAACAGCTTCATGCAGCATTCACTCATGGTGGAAAATGAATTGTTCCATACTGTGGGGTGCACACCGCTCGGCTCAGCCCAGCGCAGCCCAGCCCAGCCCAGCCCAGCCCAGCCCAGTCCTGAACAAAAGAAGAGATTCTGCCCTCCCCTGGTGGGTCCTCTCCCAAGTCCCCTAACTTTTCAGGGAGGCTCGTTCGAAATCTTCAGATGCAGATGGGGACTGGTGGTATAAAACCACGGGTTCCCTTACCCTGCTTGAAAAACAAATTTCCCTGCTTGACAAACAAATGAGCGCTGATTAACACGGGAGGTGGACAGGCTCGGGCCTACTGGTGCGAAATGGCTGATGACGCCACCCAAAACGAGGCCCGCACCGGTTCGTTTTGTGTTGGCGGCCAGGACAGGACAGTTTTAGGCTTGGTGTCGATAGCTGAGGAAAAGCTCGTCATTCACATCAATAGTAGACATAGTCAAGGAAGGGAAAAGTGCAAGAGGAGGAGAGTACTAGCTAGAGCTGCATTTTCCACCCACCACTACGTTGCGTAGGCCACCCACTTCCCCTTCAAGTTGCTACAATGATGATCCTTATTCCACATCAAGGTCTTCTCTACGCCAAGTGTGACAAAACAAAAGGAAGATCAAATGTGCCTATTTCTTGCCTCCCACACAGTGCATGTGCTTAGGGGGCATGACGCCCGCGAGCCATGGGACTGACTTCCTCCATGTAGAAGTCAAGCCATGGCAAACTTGAATACTTATGCATCAGTCCTGAAAATTATCCTGAGCGTACACGCACATTTCTGTCTTCCCCCAACCATATCACATACGCTCGGTAAACGAATACAGTGCATAGGTTGTTGTGTTCTATTCGAATACAGCACGTGTTGTTCTATTTGAATGACCGTCATTTGCAAATACAGCGCATATGCGTTCCCAATATTTTCTCCAAAAACCTGAAGACAACACCTGTGCGTTATGTTCGGGGGGGGGGGAGCGGAAGACGGTGTTTTTTTTTGAAATGTCCGTCCACCTCTACCTGGAATGCTGGCCAGGATAGACGCGCCCGATAAAGCATGGATCAGAAACGGACGTGGTGAAATACGGGACTGACCGGAAGCAGGAGCCATGGGTAGAATAGTGGTGGCTACAAGGCCAAGGGAAATGGGTGGCGATAAACAGTCCAATACACACAAGGAGAGTAAATACTAAATAGTTAATCCCCTCAGGCGAGGGAATCAATGCTAACCTCCACTTACTGACATAATGTGACATTCCGCATCTGACCTTGTCCAAGACACGCTGGACCCGGTTTCCAGCAGGTGTAACCTCCCCCCAAGAGATTGGAGCCATCACAAACGGAGGTAGCCGGCCATTGGAGAGTTCTCTAATCAACAACCCCAATGGTCGGCTATCCTGACGATGTTCATTCCAAAACAGAAAAATAAAAAACAAAAAAGAGCAGAGAGGACTTTCCTTAGTTTTCTGTATGTATCTGACTGCAATTACGCTGAGCCCGGGATAAATCCCACTGCAATCATGTTCAGACTCTTCAGAGCTTTGTACAAGAAAGGGGTTCACTGGGAGTATTAACGTGATGATGGGTAGGGTAGGTGGCCTATCCTGTCAGGACAACCATTGGCTTCCGCTACCAGCAAACACCGCAGGTCTGGTCCTTAGCCTCTACACTGCCCTGGAGTCTGGACTTAAAAAAAATAAAAATAAAAAATGTAACACACAATGACCTCCTGACTATTTAAAAAAAAAAAACTCAAAAGTCACACACTATGCCCTCCTGACTATTGAAAAAGGAAAAAAAAAGTGAAAAGTCACACACTATACCCTCCTGACTACCGCGGTAATTTTTATTTTTTATATTTTTTTGGCCGTTCTCACTCAGTCACGTTGTGGGGTAATGACCATGCCAGCTATTGAGTGAAACATCCAAGCCAGTAGCCATTCTCTGCCAGTCACGCTGTGGGGTGCAGTTTTTGTCCATGCCCCACTTGTCCTGCAGAAGTACCTCTGGCAACAAGGATATATGCCAGAAGCTGTGCTCACGTAGATGGCAAAACCCCTGATCTGAAAGCATCGTAGAAGACCCCTCCCCTCCACATTAAATCGACGGAAACATAAACCCTGCTCGGCGGCCAAGGAAATTCCCAGTTGATAACTGGTAGCCTGTGGTAGGCCCCAACCAGGCTTGGAAAACGGGTGCGGTGCAGTTTTGGGATGGGGTGCAAATTGAAAACCCTCCCCCGATCAAACCAACCCAGGCTTGGGGTCCGGCAGCAAAACAAAGCAGTGGAGGTTCAAAGGCTTGCAGGCTTGCAGCTGCTAAATATAAAATAAAAGCACCTTAGAGGCCACCTCCCCAGATTGAATCGACATTCGATCATCTGTCATGTGTGCAGAATGACTACGCCATGTTTTTCAATGAAGCATTTCCCTCCCTCACCCCTCCCTCTTTCCTTCCTATATATACTATTCAGACCTGTTGTCACCATTGTGTGCACCTCTGACAAAATATTTGCATTCTTTTCAGACATTTCGACCGACCACTGCACATGATAGGTCAGTAGCCTTTGACATGAATCGTCCCTACATCTTGGGAAATAAGGGCACATAACACTAACAGTTGCTGCCTCCCTGCCCCACTGAATTACCACACCCAGTAATCTCTCTCTCTCTCTCTCTCTCTCTCTCTCTCTCTCTCTCTCTCTCTCTCTCTCTCTCTCTCTCTCTCTCTCTCTCTNCTCTCTCTCTCTCTCTCACACACACACACACACACACACACTCTCTCTCACACACACACACACACACACACACATACACACACACGCACACAACACGACTGTACTAGCGGTCATGCCATTGGGTGTCCATGGCTGAGTGGGTGCATAGAGTGGGTTTTATGACAGTGTCAGATTAGTCTCTCAGATTTACTACTATTCTTCTCAGGGGTTTGAACCAACAGTTTGCTGGGATTGAAGGGTTGGTGCGAGTAAAGTCAACCACTTTTCTCTCTTAGGGATGGGTGTCGCTAACTCTGGGCGATGTGGCAAGTCCTTTATCCATCAGGCAAATGCATCCTGGGAAGACTTGACAGGTTCAACCTCCTGACGAGTCGGTGAAAGTCCGACAAAACAGTCTGGCACAGTCATCCTTATTTTGACTGTATAGCAGATATGACGACACACACACACACACACACACTCCTTATTTTGACTGTATAGCAGATATGACGACACACACACACACACACACACACACACACACACACACACACACATACACATACACACGTGCTGCTTGCTGAAGCTATGTGCCATGTTGTACGCAGAACAACAAAGGTCGAACAATTCTCATTCGGACCTGTAATGCTATCAGTGCAAGTGTTAGGGCACTGTTCTACAGTCATGGACCTCGCTCGTGGGTGATTACACGCAATTTAGCAACTTGAATCAAACATCCTGTATCCTGCAGTTCAGAAAACAGATGGGAGATGATGAATTGCTAGCGAAGGTTGCTTTGCCAGGGAAGCAAAGCACTGGAGACCCAATCGGGTTTTCTTCTGCCACTACACTTCTGCTGTGTGACCGGTCCTCTCTCACATGAGTATAAACTTTTTATTACGTTACAATAAAGGTGCATTTGCTGGAGTAATGGGCACATGCTTCTCTGTACTAATTCTCCGTACTACTTCGCATGGAATTAGCACAGCCAGGGAATCAAATTCTTGGTGGCAATGGTGGAAAAGTGAATGATCCCCACTGACTGTGACAACATCTATTTGTGCTTAAGCAGTAATAAAATGCATTCTCTGTTCCATCAAAATGCAGTCCTTCACTTAAACCGCCAGTACACGGCCCCAGCCTTGCTGAAAAGAAAACTCGTCGCCTACAAATGTTTTTGGAGGCCCAGCGCCGTAGATTAAATCGAATCAGCGCCAGCGCCGTAGATTAAATCGAATCAGCGGCGGGCAGCCTCCCAAAAGCACCCACGGCCGATAGCTGGATGTACTGGTGGTTTAAAGAGGAGACGGACTGACAGACTGGTGAACACACCCACCCACCCTGCACGACCCACCACCATCCCCAAACCTTTTTTTAGGGGGGGTCATCTACCCCTGTTGGTTTTCACAACCTTAAAAGAACCACGACTCAAGAGATGATCCCCCGCTGTTTCACAGCACGGGGGCAAAGATATGCAGGCATTCTTTTCCCACCCATGCATGCATGCTTTTATCATTAACAAATAGGGGGCCCCAAACGCAGCCTACATTCTTCACCCGAATACAACAGACGGGCAATATTGCTGTATTTGGACGGAAAGATATACCCCAAAAACAGCTATAATGACCGTACGTTGTCTTCGGGTGAAGAAGGTAGCCACCAACATGGCCCCAGCAACCGAGCTCACAGGAACAAAAGCAATCTCGGAAGGGCAGAGAACAGAAAGTGAAGTACAAAAAAGACCATTACAAGAAAGAGGGAGGGAAGGCGGAGAAGGGGTAGGGGCAGAGGGGGTTGCACCATGTTATTACCCTCAGGCCCTCAGACGTCTCTAATGACACATGAAATCACGGTAGACGAGCTCGAAACGGTCCACGCCATGACACACGAAAATGCCATCAGAGAAACGACAAACATCAGTCATAACGACGTTCTTCAAAACAACAACAAGAACAACAACAGCAACATAACGACGTATTTCATGTGCTACTCGCCATGGCAGATGGAATCCAAGCAATTCCACGATAAGCACAAAACAGCCTGATCTTCAGACTCCACCACGCATAAACAACTTTTTTCTGGCTGGTGGCACGTCTTTACCGTCCGGCACGTCTTGTCAAATGAATGAAACGAGAGTCCTCTATGCAAATGTACTTCAGCCTGTTACACCTCTATGCAACCCCTCTATCACCTAAGCAAACAACAGAAACACCCACCAACTGGTTTAGCTCACAGGTGCTACACCCTGCTACACCTCACACCCTGCTACACCCCTCACACCCTCTATCACCTAAGCAAACAACAGAAGGACCCACCAACTGGTTTAGCTCACAGGTGCTACACCCTGCTACACCCCTCACACCCTGCTACACCCCTCACACCCTGCTACACACCCCTCACACCCTGCTACACCGCACATCTGTTGAAATGCAGACCTGACTTCAAATTCCGGGGCGGTTGACGAGTAAAATTACTCTGTTAATTTTAAGGACTTAGTTCGAACTCCTGCTTGACAACTGATAAGCAGATGAGTGAAAAATCACGACACACTCCACACAACTACCTGGGGCCGGGCACTTCAATGGTGATAACTGAAGGCTGTCGCCCATTTTTCGTTTGGAAAAGGAGGGACATAAACATAAAACAAAACAAAACAGCAGAGCAATGAGGAAACGAAAAGCGAAAGGGACAAACAGAAGTAGGACAGGGAAGAGGAGAAGCCAGTCCACCCATGCTGCTCTGAAGAGTGCAAGTGTCCCAATGAGTTATAGTGGGAGTGCAACTGGCACAAGGAACAGTCACCGCAATTATAGGAGTTAGTATGTTTGGGGAAAGAAGGTAGTGTGCACATTTTTCCATGGCCATCGACTTGGGGTGGGACTCTCTTCTCGATCAGAAGAAACATGCCAGTGCCGGTCATCGTGGCGCCCGTGTGACAAACGCGTGCGAAGGCAGTTTGGAGAGAGAGGGAGAGAAAGGGAGAGAAAGGGAGAGAGAGGGAGAGAAAGACGGGACCGCATAAAAGAGTGCAAGCAAAACGAAGAGAGAGGAAATCAACGAAGGGAGAGGAGCAGAGAGTGCAGCGAAAAGGAAAAGGGATGGGCTATGATCTTTCCCTTCGGCTACCATCCAAAGCGTGCGATTGTTCTCGATCAGAATCTTGCTGGCCGTGAGAGGAGTATGATGAACACTGCGCAGCTGAACCGTGACAAGCTGGCATCAAAGCAGAGTACTACCACGACGTAACACGTCATAAAAAAATGATATATTGTCACACCGTGAATCGGATCGCAAAGGCGGAAAAAAACAAAACAAGGAAGGGAAAGCAGAACAAGGGAAAGAAGAATATTATAAAAATTATATATATAGAGAGAGAGATGAAAGAAGCAGACGCTTCTTTCGCCACCAAATGACTCGACAACATATTCTAAAATATCGGAAAACGACGACGACCCCCTCTCCTCTCCCTTCCAAAATCATAAAGTAGGAGGAGCAAGGACTCACAAATGGCCATGTGTGTGTTCTCTCTTCCGGCCCCCTATCCTCTCCCTCTCCCCCCACCGGTCCGCTGTTCTCTGTGGTTCCTTGCATTTGTCTCTGTCATTACTCGGTAAATCTGATCTTCAGCTCCCTACCTCTGTCACCGTTCTCTTAACCATATACTTAATTGTCGCAATCGAACACAGAACGAGTGAAGGCAGAAAAGCGATCGGGCTCCGCTGCCCCCCTGCCCCCCCCCCCCCCCCCCCCCCAAAAAAAAAAAAAAAAAAAAAGTCCTCCAGAACATCCGTTAACATTGGAACTTCGATAGAGAAAGAGACGATTAGCATGGCCCCTGCGCAAGGGTCACACGCATAAATCGAGAGAGAAAAAAATTAAAGAAAAATAAACGACCGCCAGTTTTGACGACCTGCAAAACAAGAAATGAAGAAAGGGCGATCGGTTCGGATCGCTCGGGAGGAAGAAGCCAGAGCACGAGTCAACGCCAAGTGCCAGCCCAGAAAGGGGGAAAGAAAAGTCAATCCGAAAAGGACAAGGGGAAGAGAGTCGGGAAAAAAGGAGAGGGGAAATAAGCTAAACTGCAAAGTGGGCTTGTTCGCTAGAGGGAAAGAGAGACGGGAAAAGAAGAGAGACGGGAAAAAAAAAAAAGTAAAACCGAAAATGAGGGAAAGACAGAAAGAAGGGATGGTGGGGGTAGTACCGTGAAGGGCTAGCTAGATAGAGGGACAGAGAGAACTTGTAAGGGGTGGTGGGGGTAGTAGGAAGGGGTGCGCGGTATATAGAGGTCGAGCGGGGCGAGGCTCCTCAAAAGCGGTCTGCGCGCGAAACACCATGAAGCAAAGGATTCAGGGCTGTGTGTGGCTGTGTGTGTGTGTGTGTGTGTGTGTGTGTGTGTGTGTGTGTTGGCCATAGACAACTGCACAAGAAAGGGCTTGAAAAATAAAAAGGCACGACTGTGCCAGACTGTTTCGTCGGGCTTTCACCGAGTCTCTGTGCGTGCCTGCGGGCGGGCGGGCGGGCGTGTACACGTCTGTTGATTTGCGACTGTGCTGTCTCTTTTTTTTTTTTTTTTTTTTTTTTTTGTTGTTGTTGTTGTTTTTTGAACCATTTCTCGATTCATGCGTGTCATCCTTGAAAGCGCCGGGGACATGCACAGTGGTCTTCTCTTTCTCTGTATCCTTCCAATTCTAACGGATATAAAAGAGGAAAAGGACACCACTGTGCTGTTTTTTTTTTTTTTAAAGGCTAATTCTTTAAGCCCAACCAATTCAATTACCTGTCAAATCTGGACAGGACGGCCTTCAGTTCAGCGCTCAGCGCTCACATTCCTCGTGAAATTTGTAAAAGACGTGTCTGCCAGAAAGAAAAAACAGCAGACGAATTGTCCCGCCGTACACGTGCGCTAGCTGCGCGTGATCGGAGTGAGCGGACGACGGACCGGTCCGCCGTGTCTGCCTGCAACGGCGCTCGTCATCCAAGTGAGAGGATGACACACTGCCCCGCCCTACACGTGCGCTACCGGTAGCTGCGCGTTATCTGCGTAAGTGGACGACGGACCGGTCCGGTCCGCCGTGCCCGTGCGCTTGCTCAACAGCCGCGCGCCACCACTTGACAGCGGTAGTCGTCAAGCGGTGCGCCGACCAGCCGCGGAGAAGGTAAGTCCGGATTGCGCACCTCGAAATTGACAAGGCGTGACCGGGGAAAAAAAAAAAAAAAAAAAAAAAAAAAAAAACTCTTTCGGCACGGAAGAAAGAAAATCAGGCGAGCTTGGCCCTCGACCATTCCGAGGCGGCCTGTGTTTTTTTTTATGCAAGAAGAAAGAAAAGAAATGAAAAAGTAATCGGTTGAGCTCTGTCCTCTCGCTGATGGATCTGTATGATGATGGAAAAAAGAAAGATAATGAGACAAAGAAAGAGAGAATGAGAGACGGAGAAAGAGGATGGGGGGGAAATGCGAGAGGAGACGTCAGCAGGGTAGAGAGTTTAGTTTCGCTATTCTCGACAGAGAGAGAGAAGACGGGTACCCGAGAAGAAAGGCGAGGAGTAGGATATCGAAGAAAACGCGGAGGAAGAGAGAGTGTGCTCACTCATGAGAGATGTGTTCGGCGCTTTCGGAGGAGGCCAGAGCTTTTGATACATTGTGTCCGATCTTGGAAAGGTAAGGAGTACACATATCATAAGAAGGCAAAGACAATGGGAGAAGCATTCCGCGTTCCGCGTCCTCCGGCCGACCATCGATCTGACCTGCCTGAAGCAGGAGAGGAGGAAGGCGTGCCGTCGATCTGACATTTGTTAAGCAGGAGAAAGAGAGGAGAATGTGATCGCCAGAGGAAAACGTAGGAGAGAGCGCTTGTACTGTCAGAGAAAGGGAGGAGAAGGCGATCGTAAGAGGAAAACGTAGGGGAGCGCTTGTACTGTCAGACAAAGGACACAAGAAGTTTAAAAAGCGCTCGGAAGTGCTTAGGCAGAGATCGCAAGAGCTTCGGGGCAGAGGATCCACACGAGTTCAGACTAAGCAGGAAGAGAGAGAGAGAGAGAGAGAGAGAGAGAGAGAGAGAGAGAGAGAGAGAGAGAGAGAGAGAGAGAGAGAGAGAGAGAGAGAGAGAGAG